TAACTCAATTGTTGAATTTTGAGAATTCATTTCAACGATAAAGGAAACTCGCAACAAAATAGATTAATATTTTTTTTCTATTAAATCAAATGCTATCTGACCAAATGCTCTCCGAATTTTCTTTACTCAATGAGTGAAATCAGATGGTGCTCGTCCAAATGCAAAGAAGTCCTCTGCTGGCCTGTCATACAGAGAACATGTAAGAGAGTCAACAGTATTTAAAAGAAGATTGGCACGAAGAAAATTGTTACAATCGATGTCAAAATTTTAACTGCAATCACACGAGGTGATGCAGTTTTAGGGTAAAGTACATTATCCATGGTTTGGTACATTATCCATGGCACTTCTCAATTCTGCTAACTTTCCAATTTAGCAGAATTGAATTCAAAGTTCCTGGTCAGTTAGCAAAAAACTAAAGATTCCTTCTTGGCAAAATATTCAGCCTCACCATTTCCGGGAATGCCACAATGGGAGGAATTCAAGACACTTTAGTAAGGAGTTTCTAAATCAGAGCCCTGCATCCTTACAATAAGGGAGTTTTTGACTACTTATTAAAGGAAGGAGCTTGTAATGCAAAATTAGAATCGGAAAGGATAACTGTTCCTTCAAATTAATATCGGCGAATGTATTGTTATTCGATAGTTAGAATTGACTGCATGTACTCATCAAAATCTGTTGCGAAAACTTAAATGTTCAGAAAATATTCCATTATTCCAGCTCCATAGCGCTGTGAAAAGTCAAAAGGCGAAGCATCTGCATAAACATGTAACCAGTGATCAAATCTACAACTATTGTGGACGGTCTCCAAAGCTGTCGCACGTGGGGTTTCAGAAGAAATATTTTGACTTCCTAATTTTATGTGTTAGATCCATGAAAGATTAATGAATTTTCAGAGTGATGCTTAATCACCTACAGCTTTCGAATATCTCTCCAAAAAATATGGCTAATTTGTACAATAGTAACGCGAACAAAAATCGTTCTTCTAAGGATTTGCTGACTAAACGACAACTTGCTGACTTTCTCACTTCAATGAAAGAAATGTCTTTATTTCCACCTCAAATCAAGTAAATGCGATTTTTTAAAAAAAAAAAAAAAAAACACTTTAGTAGAATTAAAAATAGTAGAAATTTTTATCAAATATAAGTTTTCGTAACTACAACGGTTTTCGTAAAGACGCTTGTATCTTGTATCACAGTAATACAAAAATCAAAGTTTATTTCTACAGGGTGTCCCAAAAGGTCGTTTACAAACTTAACATGCTGGTCTGTCATATCATGATGAACAAGATTTACATAGGAACTTGTGTCCGAAAATTAAAACTGAGACCGCTAGNCACTCAGCTGGCAATAAACACGTTCAAAAATAAACATTTTTCAGAAAATTTGACATTTTCGCTACGATTAATTAGATATTCTCGAAGATTGACTACTATTTTAATTTTAAAGCAACGTAGATGAAGAATACCTGCCCAAAATACCAATAATTCTAATAATAAAATATGGTAATCATAAACAACTTGTTCTTCCAAAATTAATTTCAAAAATGAAATAATTGAGTCACCTGTCTTTAAATATATGAAAAAAGTTCATGAGAATATTAGCCTTTAAAGAGTTAAAGTCAATTACATGACTACACATTTTTGGGGGGGGAAATACTAACAGTGAAAACATTTTGTTTTAACCTATATATGTAATATAATTTAAAGAAGCTAACTATAACTATTTGTCAACAGTTATTATATATATTTTGCAACCTATCACAGGTAAATATATATTTTTTAATGCATAATGCTGTTTGTCTAAAAGATAGGTACTCTGACCGCCACTAAGTCTGCGGCACCCCTACTTGAAATTATCATACCTCGTTATAATAGTCACCGCCACAGCTCCAGACGAATGTCTGGCAGAGTACCTATCTTAGACAAACAGTAGTAGACAGATTGTTTACTTTTGAAATAAAAGTAGAAATATGATGTTTTTAAAATTAGTAATTTATATTTTCTGAAAATTGGCAGCCATGTTAGTTTCAAGTTGCAAATCACTGTTGCCTAACATATATCAGAGTTATCTATACAATTGTGGTGGACCGTAACTTCAATAAATGCCAACAGATGGCGTAACTAGTCCTAAAAAAAAACATTTTATTTACTCATTCTATTTTTTTACACATTCTGTTTATTCATATTAGAGCTCTAGAATTGCTAATTTCGAGTTGTCAGTTGTATTTTTTATTATTAAAAAATTGTTTAAATTATGTTTTTTTTATTGTTCCAATAATTAAAGCACGGAACCTTAAACAACTTTAATTATGTTTTAAATAATTCCAATTTGGTGTTCGATCTGGAACACCTAAACAATCATAAAAAGATAGTCTTACTATTCATTGTTAGAAAGAAAAAAAAGACAGAAAAATCACGAGATACGGTTAATAAACAAAGATCCAAATGAGATGTATATTTTGTTGTAACCTACATAAAATTATTGTAAAGAGCATTTATCTGCACTAAGAGACACTGCCCTCTGCTCGCCCGGATAACCAAGATTTTTTTCCTTAACCATCAATATTTTAAACAAAAATATAGAACATTTTGCTTTCAAAATATACAATTATTATAGCTTTATGTAAGAATATTTTGTTAATATGTTAATCGTTCGTAACTAAATAAGACAATTCCAGAAATTTGAAAACTAATCATCAATATTGAAACAATACGGTTTAACCTAAGGAAAACAAATCGTGGAACGTAATAAAAAATGGATTATAAGCAATTTCACTCATTGACGAGATTTTTAACAGTTTTCATAGCTCTTTATTAAGTTTTATTATTTTTAAAAATTTCACTACAAATGTTAAGATTTTTATCTGGCAAACATGTCCCTTTTTTTTTTATTGATATCCACTTGAGTACGAGCTTATAAAGTAAAAGAATTAAAATCTCATAAGTGAGAAATAAATTCTTAACAATGGTCTTAAATAAACAATATTTAAAGCAAAAAAGCTGAAAAATCACAAAGAACTTAAATTTGCAATAACTCTCAAACAAATTGGAATTTTGAAACAAAATGTGCATAAGTTCAGAAATAAAAATGGCTCTTTCAGCAAGTCAAATTTCAACCATCATTTTAGCAGGCTACAGATCCATCAAACATATTTTTTCTTACAAGTTGAACAGTTAATAATTCTCAAACTAATTGAGGAATCTCAATTTTTTTTTTTTTAATTTCATCATACACTCTATGCTTTTTTCTATACAACTTAGTAATTTGAAATTTTTAAAGGTTATAGAATTTGTACAACAAAGAAAAATGTAAATTAAAGTTTTAAAAAAAAATAGAAAAATTCTCAAAAATAACTTAAAATTCCATTAACTTTCGAAGAATAAAAAAACTTTTAAGTTCATAAACAAATGTGACTCTTTCAACTCTGTAGTTGCACTTCTGCAGTCTATAAAAAGCCCATAAGGTATTTTTTCCAGCATGTTTAAAAATTTATAATTCTTGAACAATATTACATCATAATCCCTGCACATTTTTCTGCTCACGCTCACCATTTAAAGTTTCTAAGTTTATAATTTTAGCACAGCAAAACAAAATATAACATTAAGTTCAACATCAAAAACAGCAGTGGTGGCCCTTCTGATTCTTTAATGTAGAGAGAAATATTTATTTACTCCACTTTTAATAGCGTTTACCTGTAATATTTATCATTTTTTCTTAATACTATTAAATGCCATTATGTTTTTCATTGCTTAGCTAGCATTGCAACTTCATCTACAATTTTGTTTGAAAAATTCCAACTTAAAAATGTTTTTACCATCAAAATGTTTACATTCATAATACTTTTTTATAGGTAAGTTTCGCTCCATTTAAGTAAAGACGTTTCCAATATACAATCTCCCCCATAAAATTAAATTCAGAGATTCTATCCAGGTAATTTCATAACCTTAAGATGTCAAAATTTTCTTTCCCCTTTATCAAATGTCTTAAATCATATAAACTGCAATAAATAAAGCAAGCAATAAATAAAATATTTGTCTCGAACTAAAGAAAACTGATTTCTGAGACTCAGTTTAATTGTTTTCAAAATAAATTGATCAAATTTTAATCTGTAAAAAAAACTTCTAGAACAAACCTTTTTTTCATGAAGCATGCAATAAAAAAATATATTCATTGAGTAAGAGCCCAGCCAAGACTATTTTTATGAAAAATATGAAATAATGAAGAAATTTGCCACAGAACAACTTGAAAATATTATCGTAAATTTAAAACAATTGTATGATTTTCTTCTTTTGATATTTCAAAAAAACATATTTGAGTGTTAATAAAGCTTCTTAAACAGTTCAAATAATTTAGAAAAAAATTAATAATTACTACACTGAATCAAAGTAGTACTGAATCAAAGTAGTAAATAATTACAGATCTCGCTGAAAAAAATAACCAAAGTAACAGATAATCTAAAAACTAGTGCAATAAATTTATACTAAATAAACAATTTTTATAAAAAAAACTGATATAAATATCAAAAAATAATTAACTACGTTTCTACAATACTTTTTTTTACTTACTAATATCATTTTAATTTAAAAAACACTTCAGCTACCAAACGATTTTTTCTTTTTTTTTTCAATAAATTTATTTGGTGTGCAAAGATAAAAAAAAGCAAATACTTTAGCGAAAAAAAATTTAATATTACGATATTGTAGCACGATATAAAACAGCCTGTTAAATTTTTATTTGAAAATCATTCCTTTACATTGCAGTTAAAGAAAGTTTTTTTAAAAAAAGTTTACATTTTTTCTTTCCTTTGCAACAAAAGCATTTCAATTCAACAGGCAAGCAGAATAGATACATATTTTTTTAAACCACGTAAAAACAAAATAGAATCTGCATTACAAAAAATCATTTGAGTAAAATAAGTGTAAAAACATTGAAAATGAGAATGTAAAACACAGATGTTAATAGCTTCTTTTTAAGAAGTTTGCATGGAAATATAAGACAAAATTTTGGAAAACAAAATTTTATTTGATTTTTTTTCTTTTTTTACAAAAATCATTTTCACACAATTACCTAACTTGTATCTCATAAATTTAGAGACTAGGCTTTTTATCATCTTGTCAAAGCTTCTAATGAAACAAAAAACAGAAAACAATTTAAATTTTCATAACTAGAAATATTTATTTCTAAGTCATATTTCAAGAGCTTGGTTTCCCTTTTAATACTTTTTTTAAATTGTGAAACATTAAAAAACAATTGTTTTGAATTATTTTCTTTTATATGAACACTACTGGTACATACAGAGAAAAAAAAATTGCAACTGGATAAAGCTATACAGAAAACTGTTGGGAATTTTTCCTTTTTTTATTTGGCATGCTTAACACAAGGTCCAATTATAGAATATATCTATAAAATATTTTGACAATGATTATACATTATATATAAATATATTAAAACAAGCTTTGATCAATTGCACAAAAAAAGATAAATAACGTTTTTTATAAAGGTAAATGTAACTTTAAAGATTATAAAATTATAAAACAAATACTAATAAGTAAAATAAAAAAACAAGTCTGGATCTGATTAAACAATTTTAATTGTTGAAACAAAAAATACTGTGCTAGCTTTCATGAGTAAAATTATAAATGCCTGATAATTGGTGAAAACTGAAGTACTGATGAGTGACGCAACAGCCAACCCCATAACCAGCACCATGCTGATGAGAATTTGAAACACAAACGCTGAAATTAAATAATCAGAGCAGAATGAATTCTGTTCACATTCTTATCTTGACTTATATTATAAAATCTTACAGTTCATGAGCACAATGTTCTCATTAGCCTGATGAAATGTGTGTGCATAATAAACATTGGATGAAAGTGGTTATTTTCTATGCTGGCAACTTCAGCTGCTTTCCTTTAATGACTGAAATAAATGAAAAACATATTACATTAACATCTAGTATAATTAAAAACTAAGTCATTGCACTAATTAAAACAAATAGTGTTGGATACTAGTATCACAAAAACCAAAAATGAAGGAAATTGAAAATTTATTTCAAAGCATTTAATTGCAATCTTATTTACAAATTTTATCTCACGTGAGCACAGAAAATCAAAATCATATTGACTGAGGAGTTGCAACTTTAAGAAATTCACTAAACAAAGTTTACAAAATATATATATATATATAAAATCATAAAGAAACAGCGTATATATCTATTACATTTTCTTCAATAATCGGAACTCATGCCATTACATCCAAGTTTTATTCTATTTTCATAATAATCTTATCAGCAAAACATGCCTCTATTTATAGCCAAACTTAAGAACTCTGGAATAGAATTACTGAAAATTAATGCGACAGATATTTCAGTTTGTTGACATCCTGCGAATTCTGGAATCATTGAAAGCATAACAGAAGATATCAAGATGAGAAAATTAGCCAAAAGTCACTATTTTATTGAAACATTGGTTTTTAAGTACAACATGGAAATGAGTAGCAACAACAGCCAAAATAAGTAATCGGCAATAAAATAGCACAAATAAAGCCTGTCAAAAGTGATTATTAAAATGCACAATTCAAAATTCTTGATACCTAATAATATCATTTGAGAAAATTTCGGGGTTTTCAAAACAATGTGAAAATGCATAGCAATGACTGCAACAACAAAAAGTAGAAAACTGGGATTTGCGATGAAATAGGGACACATGAAACACATCAAAACTGATTAAAATGTGTGATTCGAAACTTGCTACATAAAAATAAAGGAATCTTAAGAAAAATTATGAATCTATGAAATGGACACAAATATAGCACATCAAAAAATAACTCTAAGAAAAGAAATTTCCCTACAATAATAATATAATATTAAAATGTTAAAACAATGTGGAATTTATTACCTGCTTCATTTCTGAAGTGACTGAAGCTTTCAATTAGGTAATATCTCCCCGCTTCAGTTTAATGAGATTATTTATTTAATGTGGAAATTACTAGAAATAATGGCTACAGAGATTTCTGATAGAATCTGTGCAATTTGAACATGTTTAAAAGTGATGACTAAAAATGAAAGCTTCAGTTTAATGAGATTATTTATTTAATGTGGAAATTACTAGAAATAATGGCTACAGAGATTTCTGATAGAATCTGTGCAATTTGAGCATGTTTAAAAGTGATAACTAAAAATGAAAGTTTCAGTTTAATGAGATTATTTAATGTGGAAATTACTAGAAATAATGGCTACAGAGATTTCTGATAGAATCTGCGCAAATTGAACATGTTTAAAAGTGATGACTAAAAATGAAAGATTTAAAAGTTTAACCTTTTTTTTATTTTTCTGAAAGAAAAGGATTTTTTTCATTATATTCAGGTGCTGCTCACCCCTACTCTAAACTCATTGTTAGTTACAATATTTTAAGTTGGCTTTTTAATGATCTTAAAATGCAAACCACTTATCAGGTTCAAAACAAAAGTTCGATAGGGAACTTTTTTTTAACTTTAAAAATACTGGTTCAGTCATTCAGATACATATAATTAAATGTAAATATTGATTGAGTTTATTAAAATGCATTTTTTTAAAAACAGAACACCTAGTATTCATTCATATTTAACATATTGTTAGGGCCTTATAATTATTAATTACCCCATAGATTTTTCTTTCAATTTTAAATAATATTACGGGTCTTGACCTTGTTCGCTGCACTTGACAACCCCTGGAACACACTCAATCAGATTACTACACAGTTTGAGCTTGCTTTTTGAATACTTGTCTGTTTTAGTCTAGCTTTAAGTGTATTTTGATAATCTTTTTAATAAAAAAATTCAAAAATATGCAGCATATACATCTTATGGTTATACATTTTATTGAATCTATCTACCTTAGGGTTGGCATAGTTTTTACCATGTGAGGTTTTTACCAGTATTTACCATGTTTTATACAGTGTTGAGAAAAACATGCTTTTTTTTCATGATTTTTACCTCTAAAAATTTTTTTTTCACAAAGTATTAACTGCTTTGAAAAAAAAAAAAAAAAAAACTTTAGCGTCCTCAATAAATTTCTTATTGTTTTTGCTATTTCTAGGAAAACCTTAAAAGTGTGTTGTTGTTACACATCCCCCTGGAGAAGGAAAGCCTAGACCAGGTACAGAAGGCCGAGTCGCGTCAACCAGCCGATCAACCAGCAGCTGCTTAAAAGAGGCGCAAGACAAAAAAGGTGATCAGGACTAGCAGGTTGTGAGCAGGAAAAAGGTTGGAAAGTCTTCTCCCCATTTTGAAATCTTAAACACTTAAGATGGCCACTACGAAATCAGGTCATGGCCGATTGGAAAGGCCGAAGGCCGCAGCACGTTAATGATAGGTCAGGGCTGTTGCCAGCATACCACTGATGGGATGGAGTATGGCGGCACACTAGAAGCAAACGATGTTTTCCCAGGGAGTGGTTCTCAGTGGGAGTAAGACGGTTCAAACAGTTCATAGGAAGATCACAGCCATTCTTGGTGAGCACATCGGCTGTCTCATTGCCATGTACCCCAACATGCGATGGGATCCATTGGAGGCTATTGGTGTCTTCAGGCCTATCTCAGATAGAAGCTTCATAATCTCCTGACCAGGAATATCAAATATTTCCAGCCAGTTCTTGAAATACTGAATAGCACTCCTACTATCGGTCAATATCCAAATACAATTAGTATCAGTTGTCTGGGCATACTTAAGGGCAATTCCAATAGCTATGATCTCAGTTCTAAAGACTGAGCAATTGTCAGGGTTAAAACTTAAAAGTGTACATAAAGGTAGCATTGAAACAAGAATTTGGAACATTTAAAATAGTCTTGTATTGAAACATTGCGGTACAATATATGATCATTTTGAGAACTAATGTTCTAAAAATTTTTGCAAGGGTTTTAAGTTTTCTTGATATTCCTAATAAGAAATATTTTGTCCTGACTTGCACTTTTTAACCTTATTCCTTGATATTTTCTCCCATAGAGCGACGTCATGACTCTTTTATAATAATCAATATAACAATTACGGCATATTAAGAGATCCAATTTAAAATGCTAATATTAAATTTTTAAAAAAATTTATGTTTGTTAAAAATTACTAGCCTTCCGTTACTGCGACAATTTTTTTTCATGTTTAAGTGAGCAATATTACTCAAAATAGAGTTAAATAAAAGACATTTTTTTAATTAATTTCTGGTATCGATATATAAAAGTGAACATACGTTTCACTTTATCTTCTTACGATTTCAACCTGAAAGTGACTCAAAAATAAATGAACTTTTTACTTTCACCTAAATAATAGAACTTTACAAGTTGTAAGGAAAAATTTGCTGAAAAAAATAATTTTACCTTTGGTAATGTATAAATAGAAGAAGTCACAATAAAGAATGGTCTGCACAATTCCAGCAATGATTGCAATCAGATCATAAAAACCTTCGCCATAGTAACGGTATACCCAATTGAGTATATAGAGACCTCTGTATGATCCCAAGCAAAAAAGGTAATGAGAAGTGATGGTTTCAGCTTCACCAGTTTTAGAGACCATGAACAACTGAGGCAAAATAGCAACAGACTCCAAATAGATTGAGAAAGTCCACAAGACCTAACAAAAGGAAACACAAGTTATAAAGCTTTATCAACTAAATTAAAATTATTTTCTATAAGAATTCAACCTAATAAATAAAAAGTTTACATTTTTCTGCAAATTGGAGATAGATGGTAAAAATATTAATTTTTTTCAGTAGAACAAGTTAAATTTATTTACATGGGTTTTTTTTTTTTTTTTTTTTTTTTTAATTTGCATTATTACCTTAATTTTGTAATAAAAAAAAAAGAGTTCTTTCCTTTGGATACATAACTATAATTTTTAACTAAAATTTAATAGCATGGAAATAAACAAAAAAATTATTCACACTTAAACTGTATGATAAAATGATATACTACATTTTTAGCATAACACATGAGCTTTTTCATAAAAAAATTTATAAAACAGTATTCCTAAAAAGGAAGAGTGTCGTAATGGTATACATGCAAACATTAGGATATGAAAATTCAGTATAAAATTTTACTTTCATAAACTTTGCATTAAAGAATTGACAAATTAAAGGTCACAACATGATACCCACAATTTTTTGTAATTTAATACAGTTACTTACCTACACAGATAACTAGTTTTTCCTGATCCAATTAAATGGGGGGAAAGATTAACAAATGCATGAATTCCATAAAAGACTTTCTCAGATCAATCTCAATGAATTGAATTAGTATTTCCAGAAGTAGCGATGCACATTTTTAGATGACATAAATAGGTCAATTTTTTGATAGATTTTGTCAAAATATTGAATGCATAAGCGTTGTAACTTTCCGCAATTAGCAAAAAATCTCAAGTCTTGGCAAAAGCAATAAAAAGTAAATAAAGAGATGAAGGTAGAGAAATATAAAGACAGTTTCACTAGACCTAAGGGTATAAGCTCCGAAACATCCCAAAAAAATTTTAATTTAAAATTATATTAATCTATCTGATATCAAACATTAGGAGACGGAACTGTACAACAAAATTTTTATTCTACCAATTATTTCTGTCTATTTTGTCTTATATTTGCTATGTAAGATTTTTGGCAGTAATAGACATTAAAATAAACAAATTTTTCTAAAGCTGAGTATATGAATTGTCTTAACATCATCGAAAACTACCCAGCCTTTGGAAGAACATGTACAGCCTTACTTTGAAATCTAATTCTGAGAATTCAGAGGGTTACTGAAGTTAATCAGTTATTAAATCTTCACCAATCAAAACCAAAGAATATTTTCGTAAACTGTTGCAACTATATGCTTACAAATTTAATACATCCTTATCATATATTGCAATACAACATATACAACTACAAATCAATGATAGACATTAAGAAAATTTAGTCCATGGTCCAGTAACAAAGATTACACTAGTTGGTGCACATTTTCATTGGTCCCTTAACATAAGTATTTTTTTTTCTTTCTTTTTTTTCTTTTGAAAAAAATACATAAGCTTCTGTGAGGTAAAATTAACAAATACAATGTATAGATTTTTGTAAACTTATTATTACAACTGAGGATTCATATAAATCAAAATTTTCTCGTTAATTTCTTATGAAAAGGTTAAAAGACAGTATACTTTTAATATATATACTAATTCAAATTTATATATTTACCATTTATATATATCATTATAGATTATTTACATTAAATGTAATAAAGAAATTATAAAAAAAAATTTAAAGTTATAAAAATGAAGATAGATGAAAATTTACCAAGAATGTATGTAAAACATTCACAATTGTAATAGAGTCCACTATTTTGTTACTGAAACAAAAAATGACAAACTAAATCAGCATATCCATTTTTTAATACTCGATCGACGTTAAGTTGTTTCTGGTCACTGTGACCACTAATAATTATCTCATCAGTGGCAAGAGTTAGATTTTTTTTAGATGACCTAGACTACCATTTCATTAGTTTTGAGCCTTGCAAATCATTCTTCAAAGTAATACAAAAAAATTTTATGGAGTTATTCTAAACTTCGATCATGTTATTAAAGTATTTTATTGAAATAAATATATAAGTATTTTATACAAGCTGAATTGAAATTTTAGGCGTTCTTTCCGTTCAACAAGTTTTATAACTTAGAAATAGTGTCAAAGGGGTAGTAAACATGGATGTAATATTTATCCCCCTAATCAACTTGAGCTGTAGGAAGAAAAAATCTGCAGCGAGAAGTCTGTTGTGTGCCTGCTTTGCTTTTGGTAATCACCACCTTGTCCACTTCTGGTTATCTTTACTTCTCTAATGTCATTTGTTAGAGTTGCTGTAATTGGTTTACTTAAATTACATGCTATTTTCCAATGCATTTTTATAATTTCCAGATGGCAACAAGTCTACAGTGGAGTTTAGTTTTTCTACTCTTCTAGTCTGCCATCAACAGCACTTTCTAACATTTAAAAACAAATAAGACTTCTTTTCACAAATCATGTATAGATTTGCTAATACCATCGATAAATTTCTCGAAAAATAATTATATTAAAGCTTACACTCATCATAATTACAAGAAGTGATGGCTTGACATAAAGTAACGAGCCGGCCAGGTGGCCGAGCGGTTAGCGTGCCTGACTGCGGAGCCAATGGCTGCGGGTTCGAATCCCGCTCTGGGCATGGATGTTTCTCTCTGTGCTGTCCTCTGTTGTGTGTGATGTGTGAATGTGGCCCACCCTATGAACGGGTTTGTGGCAGTGTGGCGTGGGTAATGTTGCTCGCCTCCGTGACTTAGGTTCACAGGTGCCCACTGGGTAACGCTAAATGAGCAACACTTCCGGCATCTTCCGAGGCGAAGAACGAGAGTTCAAGTGCCTGCCGTTATTTTAAAAAAAAAAAAAAAAAAAAAAAAAAAAAAAAAAAAAAAAAAAAAAAAAAAAAAAAAAAAAAAAATACATAAAGTAACGAACAAATTCAATACAACAAAATAATTTTGATGATTTAAATATGACCCAATTTTTACTCTACACATACTGAAGATCTTAAGACTGTATTGTTTGGAGATCTTCAAATTGTTTGATGATGTTTAAATGTTCAAGGAGAATGAGCATAATTATCTTTATATTAATCACAATGAAGTAATAGACTTTTTAAATACAAAACAATTTAAGTTCGTATAAAAACTCTAAGAGAAAAATAATTAAAATTATAATTTTCATTCCCTAATTTTGGTAGAGAGGGGAAGAATCTTAAATACTGATCAAAAAGTAAGACAATTAATAATACATGCAATGCATTTTAAAAATTAAACGAGAGATTGTTGCAATTTTTAATAACATATTAAAAGATTTATTGACAATAGTGAGTCACGAAAATTTTTATTAAATAATAATGCATTCATTTTTAAACCTTCAACTAGCATTTTCACTTTCTAAAATGTAAAGATTTTGTGATTGTAAATTGTTAAAAGCTAGTACTATGGAGTTATATTTTTAATTTTATTGCTAAATTTGCAGATAATGATTGCAAGAAAAGTTTTAGTTAAAAAGTTAAAACAGTTGTATTTAACTTATTATTCATAATAACAAATATTTTTAAAGATATTAATGTATCAAGTGATTTAACTTTTAAATGTTAAAACTTTTATCACATACTCAGGGATGAGATTAGCCAAAAGGCAAAAAAGCTGAATTTCCACAATAGTAAATTTTACGCAAGCGCAACCCTTTAATAATAAATTTCAGACAGTTTAAGGTGATAAATAATGTGTTGACATACAATTGGTACTAATCTATTATTATANTCCATCAATTTTTGCTTTATTATCTGTTAATTAGTTAATAATTTTTTAAATAACTAATGCAAAATTGCAAAGCCAATTTTCAATCATTCAACTGTCTTATGCAAAAAATATTCTTCAAAAAATTTGGATATAGTGAACCATCGGTTATAGTGGACACATTACTGAGTCCGCAGACGGTTCACTATAGCGGGGTTCGACTGTACATGCAATGTATTTTAAAAATTAAACGAGAGATTGTTGCAATTTTTAATAACATATTAAAAGATTTACTTACAATAGTGAGTCACAAAAATTTTTATTAAATAATAATGCATTCATTTTTAAACCTTCAACTAGCATTTTCAATTTCTAAAATGTAAAGATTTTGTGATTGTAAATTGTTAAAAGCTAGTATTATGGAGTTACATTTTTAATTTTATTGCTAAATTTGCAGATAATGATTGCAAGAAAAGTTTTAGTTAAACAGTTAAAACAGTTGTATTTAACTTATTATTCATAATAACAAATATTTTTAAAGATATTAATGTATCAAGTGATTTAACTTTTAAATGTTAAAACTTTTATCACATACTACAGTCCAGTACTAATTTTGNAAAAAAATGAAATTTTTAGAAAAATCTGAATTTTTGACAAAATAGCTGAAATTCAAGTGATAAAAGTGAAAAAAGCGGAAATCCGCTAAAAAGCGGAAAAATCTCATCCCTGCATACTACAGTCCAGTACTAATTTTGTATTATATATCATATCTTTGTATTATATATCATATCTATATGATATCTTAAAATTTTTTTAAATCAAAATTATTTCATTAAATTGTATTTGAGAAAGGTGAATAATAGTTCGTTAATTTAATGGATTGTTTATTCACTTCAAATGGAATTTAAGTAAAAAAAAATATTGCTTTGTTTAAATTGCAATGTATAACAGTACAAAGAGAGAGAGAAATTTCATTTGTAAATATAATTTTTTCCCCCTCATTTCGAAAAATAAAAGTGAAAATACCTTGTTTTATTTCATCAAATAAAAAAAAGCATTTAATAAAAAAATTTACATTTTCTAATGAAAATAATTAACATAGCTACTTATTTTTTAAAAAAATATTCAAACAGAAATAACAAAAGAAATTAAAATTTATTGCGCAAAACACAAACCATGAATAAAAAATAAAAAGTATCTATTTATATTGAAAAGGATATATTTATTTCATACAAATTTAATTCATAAAAAAATCATCAGTCATGTTTTTTCTAATTAGAAATCCAAACTAAGACAACTTGGATTGATCTTCTAAAATAGAGGAAAACAGGGTCATAGATTTGGCTTTGAATTTAGGGGCAACCTCAGATTTGGGGATGGTAATTACTGTTTCTTAGCAGAAAATTGCTTGCTGCTCTGTGCGAGCACGTATTGACGATTAAGAGGGTTAGTAAGAACAAGTAGCAAATTATACTTCAAAAATGAATCCTTTAATACTTAAAAAAAACAATACATGTATTGGAGAATTAATATGACAAACACTTTTGTTTCCTTTCTAAAAGAATGTTTTAAAAGAATATTAATTTGTCATAAAAAGAGGGATTGGTTAAGATATTTCCAATCAAATATTAATAAGCTGTCCAACATTAAAAAAAGTTTAAACATTAAATAAAAGGTTATCTCAAATATAACAAATTCAATAGTACACAACTGAGAACATAAATGACAAAAATTATAAGTAAATATAGAGCTTTACATAAAAAAATTAACTTAAAATAAGATACCAAAACACAAGTAATGGAAAAAGAAGACAGTTGAAATACACATTATTTTTAGTGTGTATTTGATTGTTGATGTTGAGAAAATTGTGCATGGTCGTAGAATTGAGGAGAAACTACTAAGCCACTATCACTCACTCCAAACATAAAGTGTTTTGTAGGGTCTTTGATCGTTGTGTTACTTCATACATCACAGCACTTTCTGTTTCAAGACTTCTGGTTATAAATCTTTCACTTCCACCAATACACAAAATTGAATATAATTTTCACAACATTTTGACAAACAACCAAAAATAAATTTTAAAAATTTGAGCCTTTAGATGTATTTTTATACAACAAAAATGAAAATCAGCGGATGCAAGTTTTTGACAATTGGCAAATTATTCGATTTTAACCATTAAATCCAAAAACCTTTTTAGCCATAATTTTTAACAGTTGAAAAAAGCACAAAATTTTTATATAAAAAATAATTAGCCACTATAAATATAAAGTAAAAATAAATAAACAATCAGATAAAATTATTAGTTATCAATCATGTTCAATTCATAATCAAATTTGTTCTTCAATCACTTTGACAATAAACCTTATTATTCCAAGTATTACTGTCAAAAATCCAAAATTTTTTGTGTGGAAATTCATAATCTATTATAAATATCAAATAATAATAAAAAAATGTGCAAAATTGTAATTTATCCAGTCTGTTAATTTGTTTAAATACTGAAAATACAAATATAAAAACAATTTAATGAAACATTAAACAAGTATCTTAATGGTAAAATCAATTTTCATTTATTCCCATTTTACCTCTTCCTTTCCCCAGAAATATACAGTTTTAAAACATTAGCTTTGAAGTGTTTTGTACTCTTAAGTTTATTTTTCAGCTTTGAATTGAATTAATAAGACTAAAACTCGAAAATATTCCTTCAATCGATAGTGAGTTGCATGGATTAGAATTTGGACTATAGCTATTAAAAAAAACTATTACTATAGCATACTAAAATAACGTGTATAAGGAAGTATATTCTAATAACTATATTAAATATTGATAATAACTTAATTAAACATTTGAATTGATTGATTGAAAAAAAATTATTGACTCATTTAAACTCGGCAAAACTTTTTGATTTTCAAGTACAGTGGAGCATCGTTTATACGACGCCGAAGGGGATGCCGAAAAACGTCGTATAAATGATAATGCCGTATAATCGATTTTTACTTATAAAACTGAAATTCTGTTTTCAGTTAATTTTAATGTTTAATGTGTTGATTTACATAAATTTCTAAATTAGACAAAGCAAAACAAACAAATAACCAAAGAAGAAAAATTGCAGTGAGCAATTTGAATGTATGCTACCTTTAATTATATTTTCTTGCTATTAGTCTCTACAATGCATTGAATAGCGAGTTGAACTTACTGCTTTCTATGATGCAATTTTAGATTTCTAATCAAGGCCAAATCTAATGGCTGAAGCGCACTTGTGCAATTTGCAGGAAAAAAGAGAGCTTTTACATTTTTCAAAATAATTAGTATCGATGGGTGCACTGGACATTGGTCGATGAATAGCAAAATTTTTCATTTTTGCCACCTCATAACATTGTCTAGTTTTTTCAGTCATCTAGTAAAAATTTTGGTCATCATCCAAGCATTCTTGTTGGCACCCTTTTCTGTATCATTCATGTTGGCAAATTCCGCCCTTTTTTTAAAATACACAAGAAAAAAAAATTAAATAAACGTGAACAAAATCTAAAAACCGACGTATAACCGATTCTGTGCGCCGTATAAACAATATATTTTTACATTAAAATGAATAGGAATGATTTGGGACCACACTAAAACGTCGTATAAATGTAAACGTCGTATAAGTGATCGTCGTATAAACGATGCTCCACTGTATTAATATTGGAATATATTTTTAACAAAACTAGTCAATAGTTTCAATAATTTCAACTGTATTGCTAATAGATAAATATAAATATTATTTATTATTATACAGGGTTCATACAGAGATCAGAAGAAGAATTCCAAGGAGTCCAAAATTTTAAGGTCTTATCAAAAATTAAAAAACTTTGTGTAAAAGATAATGAGACAGTTTTTTTTAAAAAAATTAAAAAGCAGTTATTATAAGGAACTTGCAAAAATATATAGTTTGCATATTTTTTTCTAGCCCTTTTGAAATAAATTTTGACTTTGTCAAACTTCACCAAGAAAAATAAATAAAGTTATCACTTTAACACATAAATACATTTTCCAGTTTCAAATATTTTAATTAATCTTGTTAAAGTACAGATGTTAAAGTTTAACATAAAAACCTGATAATCTAATATTTTTAAATTTGAATACATAAAAAAATCTAAGACATTTCATACAAAAAAAAACAGTAAATTATTAATTAAGTTAGCTTGTAACATGTAAAATTAAAATTATTTGCTGTATTTTTTTTCTTCCAACTCTTGCAATTCGATTTTTTTTCTCTTAAAGTTTCTCTTAAACTATAAGATTTTAACAGCTAAGCCATAACATTTAGTTTCCCTGTTTGGACAGCAAATTCATCAGCGTACTTAGTAAGTTCATCTATGCAACGCAATAATTTAAGGAGTTTCTAAGGACTAATTTAGAAATCTAAGTAATTCCAAGTACTCCTTGGAGACTTTTTTACTTCCAAGGAGTTTCTAATGAGTATAAGGAGTCTGTACGCACCCTAATTATAATGTAAGTATCATGCATAATTTAACTTCTTATAAAATACTCCCAAAGGAAAAAAGGAATCTTGCCCCAGGTTTTTGACAGTTTCCGCCACTTTTCGACTGGTTTTTAACATATGTCCCAAACCAGTTTTTGACATCAAAAATTATGTCAACTCTTTAAATCAAGTAAAAGTTTAACTTACCTCCAAGGGAGTGAAATCATGATTTACAACAAGAGCCAAAATTACAACTGGGATAACGAGAAATTCAATTCGGAAGGTGTCATGGTTTCTGTCATAGGTTGCTTTAAATTTGAAGTACATCAAATAAAGTGTTGCCATGGAAGTACCGATGAATACAATCTTCATCACAGAATTATAGGCAGATATATAATTGCTGAACAGATCCAAATATCGGGTTGTATAAACCAACCCAAACAGAATTTGACTTCTGCCTGATATTCCTAAATTACAAACATAAATACAGTTAATAATTTCATTTTTTTTTTTTTAAAGTTATACAACTGAAATTTAATTATTATTTAACATGTTTACAGTTTATCTAAGGGTGCACAGCAGCAAAACCTGCAGTTCAGACTAAATACAGTCCTAGAATAGTCATTGTGTAACCATCTCCATCCACTCATAAATAAATTTGAAAAATTTATACTGATTTGAATTAAAATTTTATAACATATTTTTATAAATAAAAAATATTCGTATCCTCAATAAGGTAAGGTATCCTCTTTAAGAAAAACAAACATCAAAATATCCTTATTCAATTAAAAAAAAGGCTATAATCATGTCAATTCCAATCAACAACGAATGAATCCAAGTGGTTGTGCTATTTTCACAGAATTCCGCATGGTTTTTAAAATCGTTATATTTTAATACGTAATTATAACATATCGCAAAATTCCGAATCACGCATTTTGGTTAGTAATCATTTCTTGATAAACACGTTGACCGCCGCATGGCTTCGAAGATAGTTTTTTAGCAGTCATTAAAATGGATTTTCACTTGGTTTTTAAAATTTCAATGCTTTAATATGATATTATTTCATTTGGTGAACTACGAATCAGACATTTCACACACTCAATCATTGACGATTCATCGGCAATTCCACATAGATTTACATAGTTTTTCAATTATACATTATCATACGTAGGAAATTTTGAATAGCGTGTTTGTAGAATTATTATTTGATGCTCTCCATTTTTGAAGATTTTAGTTTCCACAAAGATTTTAAATGTTTGATTTCATTTTTAATAGATTATTCCAAAATTCCGAATCGCGTTCTTTTAATAATAACCTAATAAGTAGCCTTAGTTGTGACTATTTCCTCTCGAATTCGCAATTTTTTGAAAATTTGAAGTTTTTGCACACTCTGAAATTGAGAGCGTAATTCATAGCAGTAACAATCCTTTTATGCGAGATATTAAAACAAAGTCAGCAATTTTTTTTAGCTGTAGTGAAATGCCAAATTCCGATAGACAGAAGTTCAGATATGGGACTTAGTAATGTATATAAAACATAAATGCAGATTTACATTTAAGATAAAATGCTTATTATAAAAAAAAGTAAGGCTACTGACTGTAAAATTAAAAATAACAGGATTTGAAGCAATCTGATTAGTGCATACATTTTTTTCAAAATACGGCAATAATAACGAGGATAAAACTAAAAAAATATAATGTTATAAAGAATCAATAATAAGTTTTTCAATTCAGATTTTGTGCTTGCAGAAATTTTTTTAACTGAGATTTTGTGCTTACAGTAAGTTTTACATTTTATCCAAAATTAGCTCTGGGAAGAAGGTACACCATATTGGATAAAATAAAAATATTCCCATTGAATAGCCAGCCATACATAGAACCCTTTGTGTTTTGTCTCCAAGCATGCTTGGTACTAATTTTATCACTCCACTGTAGGGATAAAAGGCTGAGTCAACCCTACCTGGTCTGAGAATAGAAACCCAGATCTATGGCACGGGAGAGCGAAGAACTACCATTTAGTCACCACCAAACCACGTTTACTGTGAAATATAAAGTTAATGGAAGATTTCCATACAGTGTTCTGCAGCAGAATAATCGCCAAGTCTTGACAACTTCCGGCAGCCCCAGAGAAACTAAAACAAAGCACAGATGGAGACCAACTCGAAGGGTATAACTCATAGCTACCCTAGGAAAACCTCTGAATTTTTTTTTTTTAAATTTGCAAGTTAAGAATCCATTTGGGGTGCCTTGGCAATTGTAGTTAACACTATTTTTTGGGGGAAAAAATCATTAATAAATATTTGTTTATTTATAATTAAGTTAGTCGTTATTAAAAAAATAGCATAGCTTAAATATTATGGTGAAAAAATTATCATACTTATCCATTTGAAATATTTAAGATAAATAAAAAATTTTAACGAACCATTAAAAAAAACTTTATGTGTAAAGTTGAAAAAAAGAAGAAAAAAATCCTCTTAAAACAAAACAAGTATAAAATAAACGTTAAAAGAGATACCGTCTATTGAAAACATTTAAAAATGCCGTGCTGTCATGAAAACGCCCATAAAAAAGTAAATACAAAAGCAAATCAGAAAATATAAAAATCTATTTTAATTTTTGAACGAAAAGTTTAAAGCTGAGCATCTCGATTTTACATTACCCTATTTTCAAGAAGAAATGGAGATAAGATTTTGGAGAAAAATCTCAATTTAGTTTTTTCACTTTGTTGTATTTTTAGAAAAAACGTACTATATAAAAATGAAAAATAATCTTCATAAGAAGCGTTTTTAAAATATGCTGTGTCATAATAAAAATGCTAATAAAAAGAAAAGTTAACCAAAAAAGCAAAAGATTAAAAGAAAAAATTGTTCTTAGCTCTTAAAATATAATCTTAATGTTGAAAATCAGTTTTCTATGTCTTACCATACAGCTAAAAGGAAATACCAAATAGACAAAAGAATTAAGTCTAGGTACCTACTAGAAACGCTTCTTTAAAATACTGAGCTATAATAAAAACAGATACCAGCAACAACAAAAACAAATATATTGTCAATTCTTAAACAAAAAGTGTTGAAAAAACGACGAAATTGATTTGCCTGAATTTTTTTTTGAAAAGACAGCAGACAAAAATCACCAGTTCAGTATAAAGTAATCTTATTTCGATTCTTCATATTTTTTCTTTTATTTGTCTTTTTACAACCTAACAAGCATGTCTTAACACTATTTCTAATAATGCATAGTAAAATATACTATTTTAGATCACTCTATATTAAATCAAATCAAATCACAAAGAAACACTTATTCAAAAAATACTTTGCCGAATATTCAGCAAAAGGTCTGAATGCCTAATATTCCATACATCCCCAGTGGGCACAACAGATCGCTATACAGAAATATCCCCAGCTAACTGTATGCCTGAGTGAAATATAGTAGAAAGCAATGTATAAAGCACAAACCAAATAGTATGTAATATTGGTTTCAACAACACAAAGCATTAAAAGATTTGATAAAAAATTATAATTTTAACATGATTAAAAAATTTTAAAAGAAAACTGCAAATAAATATCTTTTAGATAACACAGAAATTAATAATTGCATAGCTATAGAAACCCCAAAAATAAATAAATGCTTAATATGCTCAGTAATTAACTTTATCCACATCCAGAAAATAAAATAATTAACTATTTTGCCTAAATTAAATTACTTTCGCAAAAAATGCTTAATGTGCACCATATAATTATGAAGAATGCAGACAGTCACAACTTCTATAGTACGTTCAAAAAGAAGAATGGGATATATTTTTAACCATTTATAAATACTGACTTTTTACATTAATGACATATCCAAATTCAACATTTATAGTTAGCATGAATCATTCAATTCAATTAATGCTGGATCATTCTAAATTCTCCATTATTATTACACAACAACCTAAGTATTTCAGTATTTAAAAAAAACGAAATCCATTCATATAGATGTGAAATTACCTAAAAAATTGCAAAATATCTATTACAATGGCGATAAAATAATACTAAAGCTCATAATAAACAGGGTGAGTGTGGAGGCGCATATGGGAGAGATAGATAAATAATACTATATAAGAAATTTTTGCAAAGAAAGATAGGTTTGCTTATAGTCACCATATTATCAACGGTAAGTATATGAAGACATTCTTAGCAGATACCAAAAGTTTACTCAAATGTATGTATTAGCAAATAGGATCGTCTTAACTTAGGCTTAAGATAAACACAGCATTTACAAGTAAGGTGAAAATATCTTTACTAGTAATCAAAAACACATCTTTAGAGCAATGTATTCTTGAAAATCATATTAATAAAATAAACTTCAAACAATATAAGAATCTAAATAGAACAATTCATGCCGGACACCGGTTGATGACTCCCTTTATTTACACTACTGCTTCTTTCAAACCCTATTAATTACCTGCACATGATCTCGTTTTCCATATCTTCCATAACAAAATAATAATAGCAAGAAGGTGAGACAAATCACCCGCTAATCGGAACACATTCATTATGTTTTTATCCGAAATTGAATTAACCAGCTAATCAAGTCGGCGGAGTGAAATGCTGGCATTCACTACCGTGACGTGGCTTGACAAGAACGCAAAGTACAAAAGAAAACATAAACAAGGATTATGGGAAAGCTTGCAAATAAAACTTTTGCAGGTGGCAGCACCATAGCTGTTTTAAATTTCGTTTTTAATTTTTTTTAGGAAAACTAAAGAAATATAATCAAACATCTGAATACTGCAATAGTTTTTTTGATTTTAGAATTGCATTTAATATAACTTAATTGTTCAATCCTATCTCTCGCAGAAGATCGTTATTTTTTAAACTTGAAGTTTAAGGGCATCAAAAGTAATGATTAAATTATAAAATAACTGGTGTAATATGATAAATACCATTCATATCACACACTTAAATGAATTTCCTACAAAAATACAGCTTGTTGGAGCTCTTTAGGACATCTGTTTCCTTATTGTGCGTCAGCTCTAAAAGAGGAATTGCGTGGCATCACCCGGGCTCCGCGAATTTCAGGGGCAGCATGACTAAAAAATAAAGTATTTCCTCTCTTTCCAGTTGTTTTATTTTAGAAATTGATATAGGTTACCTTGATAAAATCAATATAAAGAAAGATACCCATTAATTCAGTCCACAAAAAGGTATTTGACACAGATCACAGAAAACGCTTCATCATTAAGTCACTTAAATAAATTTTTAATCACTTTTAATTAAATTTTCAATTTAAAAAATCATAACAAAAATAACTTGAATGAAATGCAAATAACTAGAGTTTAAACTGTTAACAATTTTTCACTTCTAATTAAATAATAAAATCGGTTTAAAAAAAATTAAAAAGTGCGAAATATTTTTATAAAATATATATATATATTAAATTGTCAATGGAATGAAACATGACGTTAAGAAAATGCAATGATCCTTTGCAGCTAGTAATTTTAAGTTTTTATAGTTCGACTTATTTAAAAATGATTCCCATAAGTATTCTGAGGTACCCAGCTCTACTATTTCAGCATGTAAGTCGCCACTCAAAATGACAGAAGACACCTGTGCTTGTGCAAACCGATCAACTCATTACTCAGCCTTGCCTACAGGAGACGAACTCTAAGCAAATAAACCACGTAATTAAACAATTATAAGCTTCTTTGATGATTTTATTTTTAAAAAATAATAAATATGTTTAGTTATAATTACACAGATTTTGTAGAGCTATTCTGAAAAATAAGAAATACTTAAAATAATACGGTTATAATGGTGAAACACGTTGAGAAAGAAAATGCCCATTTCTGTGGGTATGAAACCGTGTGGCTCTTTGTTAACTTATTCGTTAATGAAATAAACCACTAATAAAGTTTGTTATCATCAAAATGTGTAAAAAAGAAATAAATAAAATAATAATAAATAAAATAATGATAAATAAAAATCGCGCTATGCGATCTTTGAAGAGAAAAAGATTCTTCACAGTAAAGTCGATCTTGAACATTTGTTGCTTTAATAGAAGAAAAAAAAATGCTACAATAGAATGAACGATTAATATAAGAAATTCAGAATCCGACAAATCACTAATGATGATCTATCAAAACCTGTTTGAGTGCACAAAGAATCAGAGAGGAATTAAAAGAAAATTCTTGGTAAAAACTTTTGTTTTCATCTGACAATCAAACAAGTTTTGACGCTTTTATGACTACTTAGACTTTTTGTGCATTGTTGGGGCAGAAGACATTATTACCTGCAGACAGGTTTACCCAGCCAATAATTAGAACACTTAAAAAGTCTACCATGCCCCACCCCTGCAATATTTCTGGCAAATAAAAATAAATCAATAAATTTAGCTAAGTTACAAACAAGCTATAACAAATTAAAATATGAATCATTTCGCACAGACAGAATGTGTAAAATGATGCATAAATAATGATTTAGATAAGACATTTTCTTTCCCTTTGAAATTTTAAGAACTATTGTACCAGTCTATTTTAAATTTGTCACCCTAAACAATTGGTTAGATGTGCTACCTTAAACTGTATTTTTTTTAAACAAGGAATCGTTTCGAATGTTGTTTATTTCTTTTGTCAGTTTATTTTTTTAGATAATAATAGCTGCATTTTTCCAAATGAAGAGATCTAATTTGGCAAAAGTTTTAACATCGTTTTAGAATAGGTTTTCAATTTCAATGGTTAAATGTTCGTTAAAGAGTAGAACTTTATTTTTGCAAAAGCATAAACCACAACTTGATGCAGTGATCAGCGTTGCAGCTTTAGAATTTTTTTAAATCTAATTTCTTTTAAATTAGGATCAATTAGTGTAGTCCTTAGTATGATTTAGGAATCATGTGGTGTATTTCAGCTATAATTTTTTTAAAAAGTATAAATATTTTATTCCTTTCGAAATTTTAAACTTTTTAATCAAACGGAATTTGTAACTCAAACATGTAAGAATTTAAGGGGGGGGGGATCCAATTTGCTGAAATCTTGACCAATTGCTGAATCGATTTCTGGAAATATTTCTAGATTAAAATCTGTTATTCACTTTTTTTTAAAAAAATTCATGAGTTATACATTTTGTAATACTAGTTACATTTTTCAATAGAATTATTTCCCATTAGTCATTAAGAACCTTCATTTATAACTTACATTCATTTATAATCGTCAATAGAGAAAGACCTTCCTTTACAGTATGGTTTTAACTTAAGATATTTTCCATGTAAAAAAGTTTATTTTAGAAATATAGAAATAATTTTTAAAATCTGTGAAAAATAATAAGAAAAATCAAAAGCGCATCTTTCTATCAAGTTAACAAGAAAATTATAATCAAAAGGAAAAAAAAGAAAGGGGCATATTATTGATAATTTACAAACATAGGAAATTATTTTACTCATCAATGTATCTCTTCGCATTATTTACACACTTTTGCCATTTAAGTGGCAAGCTGTTTATGCCAGTGGTATATAATGCTGCAAGAGCAAAAACGCTATACACCGTTAAACTAAAACAACGTAATTCATTCATGTGAGGGAATTAAACACTCATAATTCATACTAAGTCTGACGCAAAAACCAAAATAGAACCCGTATTTAATTGAAGAAACAAACTCCCTAGAGCAGAAATCATCCAATTTTTTGTAAGTAAGAGAGCATTCTAGAATAGCGAGTGCCGCTCATCTTCAAAAGGTGAAAAATAGTTAAAATGTACATCTTTACAGATTATTTTACCGAAAATTTTTCAAATTCAGGTAACATGAAGAAAATATTCTCAATGGTAAACAGATCATGAGATAGAATCTCCATACCGTCAGGCTAACCGAGGGAGGTTTTCCTCTCTATGTAACGAAAATGCAGGTTAGTTCCATTACTGAGACTAGTTGATCCCAAAGCTTTATCCAGGAGTATCTTTGTTTTCTGGATTGGGTTCAAAATAACAAGGATACAGAGTTGATAGTCGTAAACTATAAATTTGGTCGGCTGTTTAACACCAGTTACAAAATAAAGTTCAGGTAACATACTCGGAGTGCGCAATGGTGTTTCCTTCTACTTCTTGGTGATTTGTAGACATTTACATATCTATGCTGTGAAGCTTAAATAGCAGAAAACTGAAATGCACTGCAAAATTTCTTTATTTTCAATTAGAAGAAAATGCTCGTTCTACAGTGTTGCAGATGGGTGTATTGTATTTTGCTGGCAAGCATATTTATACTTGCTTTGATACAAGCAAGAAATTGTTACATAAAAATCTTTAAAAAAAAAAAAAAATTCGAACAGAACTGTTAAAGTAGACATCCAAATCAACAAAAACCATATGGCTTGAAAACAAGTAAAAAAATTAAGTGGTTAATATCCAAAATTTGACCTTTGCGTAGAATTTCAATAATAAACAGATCTAACTAGCATTTTATTCATATTAAGAAATGCTGTTTATATGCTATCATATTTTTGAAGAGTTTTTCTTTTAAACTGTTGGATAAGAATTCAATTTATAAAATGAAGATCTTCATACAAATATAAAACATTTGATAAAATAACTAATGTATTAGGTTTTTTTTTTTTAATAAATTTATGTAAATGAGAAGAAAAAAATGTGGTGTATTTTTTTTCTTCTTTCATTTCAGAAATGATCAAATATCTTGTTTTTATTTTTCATTTAAGTAAATTTATTAAAAAAATGAAGATATTTGATCATTTCTGATATGAAAAAAATATTTTGCGCTGTCTTTTTTTTCATATCAGAAATGATCAAATATCCTGTCTTTATTTTTCATTTAAGCAAATTTATTAAAAAAATGAAGATATTTGATGATTTCTGATATGAAAAAAAAAAAGTCCATATTTTTTTTTAATAAACATATTTTTAATTCAATTCCTCATTTCAGTAGCTAAATGAGAACATAATTGAAATATTTTTAATTGGTAGTTTTTTGTTATTAAAATCATGGGGAAAAAAATCTTCCAATTTAGAAAATAATATCAAGAAGCGACTCTTAAAATCTACAAGACAGTCAACAGCACATCTTGGTAAAAGGTTGTCATTGCTGAAATATGCAGAAGAAAAAGCATATTAATTTGTAACTTATAACAAATAAAGGAAATTATTTTATTCATCAAAAATATCCCTTTATTGAAATAATACTTGTAGAAACACAGATCAATCACTAAATAAATCAGCGACTGTTTCCTTTATGACTTTCTACAAGCTTTAAAAAAGAAAATTACCCATTTAATTTAAATCAAAATTAAATTCAACTAGAAAAAATTTTAATGCAAAAAAATAATAATAATAATTTGAGGGTGAAAACCATTTTAAAGCTACAGTTCTCCAATGGTTGAAACCAATTTTGTATGATGTTTTCTCAACACTAATAAAAAAGTAAAGACAATAAACAACATTCCAAAAAAATTTATTTTGTTAATTTTTACTCTCAAACAAATGTAAAGTTACATGAAGCTCTTAACTAAAAAGTACTCATAACTGTATGTCTAATAAAAAACACAAATGAAAGTGAATGAAACAAATTTATAAATAATGAATAAAGCAATAATTATCAGTTTTTGGGAACATTTTCAAAATTGAAATTCGATTTAAAAAAAAAAAAAAAAACACTAGAGAATGATAATTGTAATGTAACTTGGGTAATTGGCATGTCATGTTAACATAGATAATCAAGTTTTAAAAGAAAAAATTCTAAATTTACTATAATAGCTCTTTGAGTGAATCAGAAAAGCATGAAAATTCTTTTGAAAATACCAATAAAATATTAAATCATAATAAACAACAACCACATAATTATCACCTTCAAACTAGAATAAATTATCAAAGAAACATAACAATAAATTAGCTTAAATTACTTAAAGAGCAACTTTTAATAATACTGGTCATTTTATGTAAGTATAATAATGATGAAAAAGACATTGCACATGTTACAATAAAAATATGATGCAATATTTAATTAAATATGAGTTACAATTTCTTTTTTTAAGAAACCATAACCAAATATATCACTCAAAAATAAGTAATCAAAAAAATAATTTACATAAATACATAAAAATAATTTACACCTTTTTTACAGATGTAAAGAATTTTTTTAAAAAAAAGAAGTACTAAACCAATGATAGCTGAAACAAAAATTATACCATCATAATTATAAAAAAAAAAAAATCTAAGATCACAGAAATTTACAATGAAATTGTCGCAAATGGAGTGCTGTAATAAAAAGCCATTAACTCAAATATGTAAGTCCTAATAATGACACAATAAAAATATTGGAACTTCAAAAACTACTTAGAAATCCATAGTAGTAACTGCTGGAAAAACAATATAAAAGTCATGTGAATTCACGCATCTTAAAAAACAATTACTTAAGTGCATGATCTCAAATTTACATTTTGTAATAATAAACTATTTTTTAAAGACATCACGATTTTAGAACCCTAATGAAATACATAATGATAATCAAAAAATTGAACGACAAGTATAAATATCTCAACTCCTTAAAATTCTCATGTCATAATATTGTATTGAAATATGAAGTTTTTACTTTTGAAAAATTAAACAAAAAACTATAAAAATTTATGATGCAATCAAATTTTTTAGTAATTTAGAATTTAAATTGTTGACATCGCTTTTGTCTAAATGAATATTCCTATATTCTAAACGGATTTTCCAAAATCTGAACGTTATAGGCTAGATTTTTGAGGTCATATTGAATTTTTATAGAAAGACACAATGTCAGGAAATAAAAGACATGTAATTTGCTTATTATGATAATATTATAACATTGTGAATTTTATGAAGGAATTTTTAGATTTATATATTACATATTTTTTTTATCCAGCTTCTTATTATTAATATGATTATGTTTTTCAAAGTAAACATGCTCAACTTTTAGAACACTTCAAATATAGCGAAAATTGTAAGCATTTAGGACGTTTTAAACATCGCTAAAAATATTTGTTCTCAGTAAATACTCTAACAAAGTTTTATTTGTCATAAAACTTAAATGGATAAAAAAGTTCTTCCCTCCTAGAAATAATCTTTGTTAGCAATTAATTGAATCAAATTCAGTTCAGAGTAATTTAGATAGTTACAATTTCCATCGTTAATTGAAGTTCCTGCATTAAACTGGGTACATTATATAAGAATTTCTACGCACAAATTAGCTATCAAAATTCTTAAAATTCAACAAATACATACTAAGAAATCTTCAAACAGTTTAAATTATAATTTGTTAAACTATGATAATAATAAACTTAAATTTACTGTAATAAAAGCTTTTCAATTAAAAGAAATTGTGAATGATTGATTTGGCCTTGAGCCCAGAGGTCTTTCATTGTCTAGAATTTAAAAATCAACTAAATAAAAATTTATGCATAATAAATTGTTTGTTTTTTTTAATTTTTACATGAGCAACAAAGAAAGAATAAAGATATCACAATTTTATATCAAATTTGAAAGCTGATTTCAAGTTGCTTCAAACTGGTTTCTTACTTCATAAATATATATTTATATTGGGCTGTCACAACATGCTACAAACTAGCATCAGAGAGATCAGTCACATTTTATATGGAAGCTCATGTATGGAATATACATAATACAAATATTAGGTGGGTGATAACACAGTTGAGTTGAATTGCTGTAAAGCATCTTGGGCAATCTTTTTAAGTTGTTGCACTTCATTTTCAAGAGTCAACGAGTTAGCTTCAAGTACCTTTAGTGATTCGGAAATGTCATGAACTTCAGAAGCATATTCTTGTAGTCTAAAATATTTACGCACATCATGATACCGTTGTAATGCAGCTTTCATTATTACCACTGCGGCAAGAGAAAAACATACTATAGTTAAAATTAAGAGACGGCTCATTACTTTTTTTTTTAAAAAAAAATGCAGCCTTCTTTAATAAGAATTCTTCAATGACCTATACCAAAATTACATACTTCGAAATATTATAGATTTAATAATAACTAAATGGCAAATACATATAATCAAATACATATTTTTTTGAAAACAATTACGCAATAAATGCAAATACTGTCCTATTTAGATTTAAACTCATCTTTTACAAATGGCTCGTATTAATTCTACGAATTGCACGCATTTGAAAGTATAATATAAATAGATAGTTCAAGAACTAGATTTTTATAAATAGATGTGAATACAATTAAATCAATGTAGATTTCACAACCAATTAACAAATTTATTATGTCAGAGTACAAGATCAAATGTATCTTATTTTTGTTTAAGTTTCATGGTAACGCCTTTAAATGCTTATTTCTTTCTGTTTAAAGAATCATTGCAATACGCAAAAAGCTTTTCAACCAAATACTGTAAGCTACACCATGGATGGTATTTTCGACACTAAGAAGCGCTGCAAACGTGGTATTTGCAAACGTGGTATTTGAATACTTATTACTAAACTTAATCTTGCTCCTCGAACAATATGCTAACACTAACGTAAGATAGTGCACAGCTTGCAACACGAACAAACAACAATAAACAAATGGAAAGGGGCCAAATCAAGACTGCCAAGAAAGCGAGTTATTCAAAATCTAGCAACCATGTCACCTTTTTTAACAATATAAGTAACCAAAACAAATTTTCACTTTAAACTCACCTGTTTAGGCAACTTCTTGGACGATAGTAGAGCATGCTCTACTTTCCATCCAAGTATTTTCTCCCTTAACCAATCAGCGTCTTAGGTTTAATGACGTCAACAAGCGGGCATATATAATTGTTTCTTGTCTGTTTTCATATATTCTGTTATTTTAATCTCTCCCGATCGTTTTCGTTAATTTTTATTCTCCGGAATATAATTTTGTGATTGTTGCCTTCATGTAAGTATGAACTTTTAAAAATCTAATTTTTTCGGAAATATTTTAATTTATAAATTAAATTATTGAAAGTACTTTCTTATTTTTATAGAATGGAATGGAATAAAAATACTGTCTACAAACTCATTGCTGAGTACAAGGAAAGACCAGAACTGTGGGACAGTAATATCCCATCATATTCCGATCGCTATATCAGAGAGAAATCTCTAAATGATATTGCTAAGCTGTTTGAAACAGATGTTGAGAATGTAAAAAAGAAAATAAACAATCTGCGGACGCAGTTTTTAGATAATCAGAAAAAAGTGATCGAATCAAGGACAAGTGGAGCTGGTAAAATAAATACAATTTTCTTTCTTTTTTAAAGAATTTATGAAAATTTAAATGAAACATTCATGAAGCTAGCGAATTAAACAAAATATTTATCACTATAAGAGTTTTATTTCAATCTACTTCAATTTAAATATAAAGCTTAAAAAAAAACGTTGATAAGTTGTTCTTTTTCTCAAAATTTTTTATTTTAATCTGTTAATACAAATAACATGGGATTTAAATGATTTTTATTTTTAGAGTTACTATTTGCATAAAAAATTGCAGCACTTAACCAAATATTTTCATATGTTATTAATATAATATACATTATTACCTAACTTTAAGTTAGTATTATTAAAATATTTTATTTTTGATGTTTTAGCATTATAAATAAAGTAAACAAAATATGTAATTTCAAAGCAAACGATTCTTTTCTTTTGCTTTCTTTAAACAGAAATATAATCAATACCTTTAATATATTTCTACCCAAGTTTTAAAGTATATAATTTAAGCTTTTTTTTTTTGTTGATAAAGCTAAAGAAATTTTGATGAATTATTTCCCTGGATAATACGAAACTGTACTGTTCTTCAGGTACAAGTTATTGTTTATATTCTAATTAAAAAATGTTCGTCATGATTTTTTTAAAGTACAATTTGCTGTTTCTGCATCTTTTATTGAACTAAATGTGTAAATTCAAAACAATTACTTTTATTTATATACTTTCATCAATATATATTTGCCTCAGTTTCTGTTCATTTTATAAAACTAAAATAATTAATTTAGATTTAATTTAAAAAATAAATGTTGTTGAACTGTTTTCTTGGTGAAATTTTTTAATATTTCAGCCTCATAAATTTAATCTTGAATTACTGACATTATTTGATATTGTTTTTGCCTATTGTTTGAAGTTAGAGCATAAGTTAATACAAAGCAAATAATTATAACTCCAACTAAATTTGTGTTAAATGTATAAAATGAAAAGAATTTATTTGAATTTTTACTTAAAATTAGAGATATGTTGGTGGAATTAGAACAATTATGAATTAATATAATTGTAAACAAATCTTCATTTCAGTAAAATAATTAGTGCCATTTACTATTAATCTCAGCTGAAGTTCAGTTTTTAACAGCTTGATTAACTAAGAGTTTCTGAAGCCACATATAATTTTAAATACAGATAAGATGATTATCATATTTTATTACAGGTCTCGATGATGTCTTTGAGCCAAAGTGGGTATACTATAAAGAGTTGATGTTTTTGAAACAAAGTACCGTTCCTCGTGACAGCAGGAATAATTTAAAGGTTCGTATAAAAATAAGATTTTAACTTTAAAATAAGGCATTATGTTATTGCTTGAAACCCGATAAAATATTTGATTTACATCTCTAGTTTAAAACTATGAAAGTAATACATTTTTTTTTTTACTTAATTACAGCATAACTGTTGAAATTAAAGAAAAAAATTACTAAAATATCCTTATTAGCCCTATAATTTCTCACTATTGATTATTTAATTGAAACTGTAAAGTCATCCATGAGGAAAGCAAGTTGTTTTGTTATGATGTTCGGGTGAGAATGACATCTACTGAATCCCACTGATTTCAATTATTTAAAAATTTCGTTGGGAATCTGTTATAAGGATTTTTCCTCACGAAACCCAATGATACCTTCTAACTCTGTATTGCAAAATTTGGAGGTTCTTATCTCTGAAAAAACACATTTCAGTTTTAATTAATGAAGCCTATATAAGTCAAAAGTTATTAAATTTAAGTGAAATCAACATTATTAACAAATTTACTTCTAAGCTAAATTATTGCTCCTTTAAACCTAAAAACACTATTAGTAATTTCCGTAGAAGCACATTGATAAGTTACTTTAAAAGTCACATGAAGCTTTATTTCCTTACAGCAAAAACAGAAGGAAATCGAGCGAACGTTTGAAGACGACTCAACTGATGAAGATCCCTATTTGGAGACCAATCTAAACTCATCAAACACAACACCAACCCAGCCTCGAAAAAGGAAGTGTACACAGGAGGGAGATTTGATGGCTGCAGCAACAGCAGCCATTAACAATGTTGCCAGGAAAGATGATTTGGACTGTTTCGGCTCCTACATCGCAGCGGAGCTAAGAACTTTGTCACCAAGGAGCCGGACAGTCGCCAAATCGCGTATTTTTAATACTCTTATGGAGTACAAAAAATAATTAAATCATTTATTTAAATTCAGTTTTTTTTACCCATCATTTTAACCAGAAATCATACAGTATCAACATTTCTTATTGCACCAGTTGTTGGATATCATTAATTTTCAGAAAAATAATGTATTGCAGACAACAAATTTAAAACAAATTCCTTTATTAATGATTAATATAAAAAAAACAATATTAAAAAAAATCAAACATCTAAATAATTGCAAATCAGGGTAAAAGAAATGAGAAACATATAAAGATAAACACTTTAAAATATACTGTTGATACATTTGCAATTAAACAAAAGATCATAGTGTGTCAACTATGTTTACATTTTGCCTATTTTTTGAAGTTAGGGCAACTATATTTTTAATACGCTTATGGAATTCAAAAAAGATTAAACGATTTATTTAAATTCAGTTTTTTTTCCATAATTTTAACCAGAAATCATACAATATCAACATTTTGTATTGCCCTGGTTTTTGGATATCATTAATTTTCAGAAAAATAATGTATTGCAGACAACAAATTAAAAACAAATATCTCTATTAATGATGAATACGAAAAGCCAATATTAAAAAAAAAACATCGACCATTTAAATAATTGCAATTCAGGATAAAAGAAATAATAAACATATAAAGATTTAAAAAAGACTGGTTCTACATTTGCAATTAAACAAAAGATGATAGTGTGCTTAGCTGTTGAAAGCAGAATTTAATCTGTCATGAGTACAATCTCAAACAAATACCTTTATTGATCATCAATACTAAAAAATAAAAATATATCAACCATTTAAATAAAAGCAAATCATAAAAATAAATGAATAGCATTTAATAATAAACACTTTAAAAGACTGGTGATACATTTGCAATTAAACAAAAGATAATAGTGTGCTCAACTGTTGAAAGCGGAATTTAACGGAACAAAAGGGGCAAGGAACAAAATTAAAGCTGGATAGGATACAGAACTTAACATACTGAATTAACAATTTAAAAAAAAAAATTAACATACTTCATTAAAAATTATTTTCAGAATGCTTCAGTATTAATTTTTATTTCATATTGCTAAAAATTAATTAAAAAAAGAATTAATTGAGAATTATTTTTAGAATCTTTATACCTAACTGTTAAAAAAAGTAAAGAAAATTTATTTTTTAAACTTTAACATAGCTATGCTGGCATTAGAGAATATAATTTACCTAACGTTTTAAATAATTGAAATTTATGTAGAATTAAGTTTTAAAAAAAATTTAAATAAAAATATATGAATCGATTAATTAAACTGAATTTAACTTACATAAAATTGGAATAAAAAATAAATAAGATTTTAAACTATGAATCTGTCTTGCCATGGCACTTTGCCAACACCGTTGAAGTAAGAACAAAGTTCATCCCTTACTTCTCGAGCATTAAGAGATGAAAAGGAAGAACTTTGCCTTGCGACACCTCTAATTCCAGCATAGCTATGATCAGACCAGGGAGCCTGATTAATAGCTCCTTCCTGAGTGTTTTCTCGATTAAAAAAGTTAGGCGGAGAGTACCTGCTGGCAGAAGATGTTTTTCTTAAATAATTGTGCAATGCACAGCATGCCAGCACGATACTCTCAACTTTTTTAATATCGAGAGGGTTGACTCGTTGAAGGACTTCGAATCTGGCTGATAAGATGCCAAATGCATTTTCGACAGTCCTTCTAGCCCTACTCAAACGGTAATTAAATATCCTCTTTGTTCGCGTTAAATTCCGCTTTGGGTAAGGCTTCATCAAGTAAGATTTAAGAGGGAAAGCCTCATCTGCGACCATCACAAATGGGGTTTCACTATCATTTAATTGATTCACTAGCCTAGTAGGGCCTGGCACACTAAGTGCCCTATTTTCCAGAGCACTAAATAAAGTTGATTTGGAAAATATGGTGCTATCTGCCACCCTGCCATTTGTGCCCACATCTACATAAAGAAAATTACAATTTGCATCAACTAGTGCAAAAAGAACAATGCTGTTTGACAGCTTATAATTGAATAGCTGGGAGCCATATTTCCGCTTATGGCGCACCAGAACATGTTTTCCGTCTAGGGAGCCAAAGCAATTTGGAAAATTCCACTTCTCCTCAAATTCCTTTGCAATAGCAATCCACTCTTCTTCAGTTGATGGAACCTAAAATATGAAAGCTTTATATAAGTTATAAGGCAAATTAAATAAATATATTGTTAAGTTTTATCAGTAATTAGGATGGGAGGATCCTCTTCAGGAGGATCCGAAATCTCTCGGAAGTAATATTGCAAGCTTTCTTGATCTAAATTAACAAATTTTTAGAAATAATTCTAAAATTTACACGCAGAACATAACACAAATGAGAAACTTGTATTATATGGTAATAAATCTATTAATATTATTTATATTTAAATCTTAATATAAATAAAATGATGAAAATCGATGGCGAAATATATTAATTGAAAAACATACAGATATACTGAAAACTGATGTAATTAGTTACGTTAAAATTTAAGTGAAAGCAAAAGCAGTTCCATTACATTAAACATACCCGTATTTATTCAATCAATTTTTTGTTACTCTCATTAGATCCCCTAAACATATCACTTATCTGGTTCTTCCAAGTTCTTTAATTGTGTCAGTATATGATTTTTAGTTCATTTTCATGATTTTGTAGTGTTTCACAATACTAATTCTTCGATTATTTTATTTATTTTTAAATAATCCCGTGCAAAGAAATGGTATGCAGCTATATTCTATAAAAAAATATAGCACATAAAAAAAATGAACAAACAGATAAAAATATAGAGAAATATTACAATAAACTATTGAAAGAACACTCAACACCATGGAACATGGTGTGGAACACTCAACACCATGGAATCAAATAGAACATGCCAAAAAGTTACTCAAATTTTGCAAGTCATATCTTGAAATTGAATCTAAGTTCCATCTTGCTTTTGCAAATCTGCGAAAGATGCAAAATTTAATTTCTAGATCAGCAGAAAATCGAGTAAATTTCATCTCAATATTTGATTTTTAGAACTATTAAACAAATGAACTATTTGCAGAATTCCACAAATTAGCTGAAAAATCCTGGTATATACTTTTTATTTTTCTCCTCAGAGTATTACCTTTTTGTCAGTTACTGTTGTACAGAGTAATCGACAATAGAATTGCACAATGGGCTATTTGTGTCAGTCTGAAAAACATTCCCAAGCAAGGTCCGGTGATATGTTATCAAACTAATTATTCATTTAAATAAAATAACAAAAGTTTACACTCACTTGAATGTAATCCTGTAATGCAGCATAAATTGCCTCGCATGTCTCCGGAATGAAATTTGACAATGTAGATTTATCTATTCTAAATAAAAACATCAAGGAGGAATAGGAGTCTCCTGTGAAAAAATAATAGAGTGAAAAAAATGAATAAATAGTATCTATAGTGTGAAAAGAATATACAAATAGAATAGAGTAGCTCTTTTACAAACTAGACAATTAAGTGCTCTTTTTTTTTTCATAAGCAAAATTTTTTAAATATCAAGACTACATTATATTCTAAGAAATTAAATCACACTTAACATAAATCTTTCCTTATTTCATTAAATAGAAATCCTGCATGCACAGTCAAGCAAACTTTAATAAAAGAGGATATTCTCACACATTATATCATTTGCTTCTCATAAATCTCAGGTTATACAACACATCAATAAAAAAAATTAAGCTAATTCAATGAACAATTCATTAACTAACTGGAAAATTAAGAAAACAATTAAGTGATTTTTCTTTTCATTAACAGAATCTTGTTTCAAACATTCAGATAGCTACTAGAAAATGGAATTTCATAGGAAATATATACCTTTAATTTAATAAAAATCCAGAAAGAATAAACAAACAGAAAGATCTCCATTAATTCTAGAGCAAATCATGATACTGAAAATTTCCTTCATGTTTTTAAGCTTATAAAAATTTTTAAAAAAATTAGATTTCCCCCTGTGGTGCTAAGTTGATCTTCTGGGATTTAGTTTCACTCAAAGCTTTAAAATAGTTGAATAAACTACAAAATATAAACTATTCTTAATTTCAACAGAATTCATAATAATTTTTATTGGATTAATCAAATTCGTCGTAACTTATTAATAAAAAAATTCTGTCGATACTTACCTGACGCTAAATATCGAAGCGTCACTGCTAATCTCTCAGCAGCAGGAATGCTGTCTCTCATGACAGTATTTTGCTTCGAAATCATGGGGGAAACCTTCTCCAACAAGATGAGAAAACTCTCTTCATCCATCCGGACAAAATTTCTGAAGGCGCCCGGATCCTCTAGTTTTAATTCAGCCATTAAAGAGTGGTAGGCGCCCATTTTATTTCTCCGCAATAACCATTCTCTTGACCATTTAGATCTTTTTTTTTCCTTTTTTTTCATGGCTGAAGCTGCAGCAACAGCCATAATTGTAGCGGAAAGCGCAATTATCTCGTCACTCATTTTACATAAAATTAATAACAGTAAAATAACAACTTTATTATTTAGGCGCAGCGATATCAACAGCTTCAAAAGCTTTAACTTGTAAATAAAAACCAAAACATGAGCTATTTAAGCGCATGCGCAACTTTTTCAATCCGACCAATCAGTGACATCCAAGAACTTGGATAGTGTAAACGAATCATCCAACTTCTTGGACAGAGAAATCCGTCCAATTTCTCGGATACAAGAAATTGGACCGTGTAAACAGGCCTTTACATGATAATATTAATATCTTATGAAATACGGTAGATTTGAGCTTATAAATTATCTAATTTATTTCTTCTATTGAAAACAAAATTATCCGTTTGAAAATATCGCTTCGCAGAATTACATATAGTTAGCAGCTGCAAACTTTCTAACCAGAACTAGAGCAGGCATACAGCTCGAGATTGTTATTGTTTACATTTCTACTGAAAACACCATCCATATTCGTGATCGAAATGAGCTACTAGTCGCGCATTGGTAGCAGGTGGCACTCTTTACCTATGGCAACACTAGGCATGCTGTTGGCTCATTTCATTGACATTCACTTCATCGACAGGCCATTTCATTGACTAGGTCATTCCTCGACAGGATCGTTTCGTTAACAGTTTCATTTTGTCGACAACGTCATTTCGTCTACAGGGTCATTTAGTCTATAGGGTAATTTCGTCAACAAGGTTATTTCGCAGACAAGGTCATTTCGTTGACGGGGTCATTTCATAGACCGGATCATTTGGTCGATATGACCATTTCATTAACAGGATCACGGGTAATTTTGGAACTATTTTTAGGGATTTAAGCTAAATATTTTCATTATTAATAAGAAAAATACTATTATATAACTTTTATACCAAAGCAAATTGTTTGTAAAGCAACACTAAGGTTGTTGCTGTGTATTGTTGCAATTGCCGTAAAAAAAGTATTTCGGCCTTTTTTTAGCCGTACATCCAGTTAAAAAAACGAAACTTTAGTGTATTGTATTTTTCAAGGATTTATTTCTCAGAAAAATTGTTTTATTTTTAAAGTAATTATGATGATTAGAATCACAAAAATAATTACTATAAGTACTGAAAATGATTCGTGATATAGCAAGTGAATGAAGGTGAAAAGAAAATGAATTCATAAATCTAAACTGGAAAAAGTATATTAGAGAGAATAAGGATATAATTTTAGAACTGAAAATATTTCAATTTCGCTTTTTAAATACATTGATAGGTAGTTGAGAAGAATTTAATTGAGAACGGTTGATGTATCAAAATCTACTTTTCCATATCTACTTTCCTTTATTCTACTTTTTCTACATCTGTAATAGAGCAACACTTGTTCTCAAGATTAGTAAGGATTGTTTTCAAATCATTACTAAGTATCATATACAGACTGTTGTCACCAGTGATATAGCGTGACGAGAACAATCAAATAATTTTTAATATCAAGTCAAATTAATAAAATAGGATATCCTTAGAATTAAAAGTAATAAAAATTTGATGTTTTCGGGAGGGGAAGGGTAAAGCTCAATTTTTCACTGTAAAAATTTTCAATATTTTTGATTTCACTTTAGCAAAACCATAGTCTTCAGTGTATTCCCCATAGTAATGAAAATAATCACAGGCCTTAAATAATTATGTATGCATAAGTAAACTGATTCACATGGTATCTTGTTAGTAAATTTAAAAAAACGCAGTTTCGAAACATATAAGGGACTGTTTAAGGTTAAAGTAGAAAAAAGAATGTTTCTGATATTTTATCAATCCAAATTTGGCAAGAAGGAAAATATTTGTTGCAATTTTATTTTTAGTTACATGACAAAACACAAAATTGTTAAATAGCAAAAAAAAAAAATCTAGGTTTTTATAGGGGAAAAATAATTTTTAAATTACTTTAATTGCAATTTTAAACTTTTTAATCAGTGTCTTTAACAATAGGATAGGATGAATGAATATGCTTATGAGGGTTACAACAAATTTATTCATAATTAATGTGTTTTACAAGTTGGATATTCATTTTATTTTCCCAACATGCATTTTTTTAAGATTCTTAGAAGTTATTTCGCTTCTTGTTTATCAACCTTCGCAATAACCTTTCATTGATCTTAGTTTTTTTTTTTCTTTTAAATATCGATATTTTTTTTTTAAGAAAAAAAAGTTTAAAAATATAATTATTGAAATTTTATGTAAGAAAATTTTGTTAATATATCAATCGTAAAAAAAATGATTGTTTGAATATGAAAAAAAAATCAACTGTGCTTGAAAAAATAAATATTTAAACATAGGACTATATCACTTGTGATAAAATAAGAAGCAATTTTACTAGCTATCTAAAAAAATTTCGTTTTACTGATTAAATTCTTTGTTGTTGTTGTTAATTTACGTCGCACTAGAGCTGCCCAATGGGCTATTGGCGACGGCCTGGGAAACATCCCGGAGGATGATCCAAAGACATGCCATCACAATTTTGATCCTCTGCGGAGGGGATGGCACCCCCGCTTCGGTAGCCCGACGACCTGCGCGCGAAGTTGAGCACTTTACGGTAGCACAGTTTAACGAGGATCAATACCGCACACCCTCGGTCCCTACGCAGACTGATCCAAGTGGACACCCACCCGCACACTGACCTTAACCAGTGACTTCGGTGATCTGCTGGGAACCGTGTCTCAACGATCAGTCTACTGCGGGACTTAAATTCTTTGTAATCACCGCCATTGTTATTGTAAAAGCTTGTTCATTTTTTTCCGATAAGATTTTAAACTGTATTAATGCGAATTATTCATTGTGGGTGAGCATTATCAAAGAAACGGCACTGTCGACGAAACAACCCTGTTGACGGAATGATCCGGTCAACGAAATAGTTGATGAAGCTAATAGTTGGTCAATATAACGGCCTGTCGATGAAGTGATTGTTGCTGAAATGAACGTGGCCCATCCACAGCAATACCACGAATTTAACTATATTTTGCTTTAAGGCTAGTTTAAATACAATTGCAATAAAATTAGTAAATCCATACTGTCCAAAAAACAACTAATTAAAGCCAGCCTCTTCCTCAGAGAGCCACAGAAAAAATATCAAACATTGACCGGTCCACGGCGATTGAAAGGCTGGGGAGCCTTGGCCTATTCGCGATCGCAACGCTCGAATGCGCCATCTAGGGAGAAGACCGGTTCCATGCTTTTGGCCGCACCTCTTCCTTTCAGTTGCATGGATGGTGCTGCAAGCTCGGTGCCGCGAAGTTTCCGGGTTACTGTTTCCGTTGTATTTTGAGATTCTTGCAAACGTGGTATTCGATTACTTATTACTCGACGAATTAGAGTTCCTTAAAATTTGGAAGGAAGCTGATGGTCGCAGCAGTTTAAGCAAGAGAACGGTAGTTTTAGTCTATATCACCATTTCTTCAGAAATAATGAAGTGAATAAAAAAAAATTTGCACATAATTATGACTTGCTTAACTCAAGATAATTCCATGTAAAACATAATTTTTTTTTATAATTCTTGAATTAATTTCTGATGAAAAATTTTTTGAATTGTAAGGCATACAAAATTTTACATAATTGGAAATCCTGGATTTTAAGGAAATCGGCTGAATGGTTCTTGCGAAATAAAAATTTTAAACGTATTTTTTTGGAATTTTGTTTCTCAGAAACTATTCAACAGACTTTTTTAAAATTTTATTAAAATGTCATTGTTTAAAATAATATAAAAACTAGTTTACATTACGATTAAAAAGTTTTTTTTGTCCATTATCAAATAAAAAAAAGACATTACAAACTATTTTTTATATCTTTAGATAAACTGATTTCATAATGTACTGTGCACAAGCCTTAAGTTTGCGTAAAAATTTTTCGCAATGTACGAAAAGTGGCAAAAAGTACATTTTCATTTTCCCCCCAGGTGAAATCATTTGTATGGTATTTTGTAGATAACGATCATTCCGAGAATGTTAAGAGTCAATAATCCTAACACTTCGAGAAAAAAAAAGCATATTTGTTCGGAAAAAGTACATTTTTGTGCCTGATTTCGTAACTTAAGCTACCGTCTGAACAAATTAACGTAATTTAAAATTCAGACTGCGCACTTGAAAATCAGATCTTTATATGAAAAGTTTTTTTTAGGGAGTACGCATATCTACTTTGTGCACTATGCCTTGGTAACAAAATCACCAGTGGTTACAATACAGTAGAAATACTACGGATACCAACTCAAGAAAGTCGAATTTATGCATGTTATGTAGTTGAGCAGTAACATGTTGATCTAGTTTTACTCATTTCCACTCGATAGCAATACCTCCTTGGACAAAGCCCATATTTAGAAATCCTGGGGCAGTGGGCATAGAACAAACATGGTGCCGTTATAACTTGAACCAAATTTACATCTTGTATGCATACAAAATGTTTTTTAATTGTTTATAACATAAATATATTGTAAAATTTACGCTTACATAAATTTCAATGTTTTTGTTAATTTATAATTCTAATAAACAATTCTTAATGAAAAAGAAAGACGAAAAATATTATAATTGCAACTTTTAAGCGGCCCAGGCCTTTTAGAACTTATGATAAATCAAGCTTAGACAACAAAAACATTGATATTCATTGTGCTCCTAGAAGCCTAAGTTCCCTTATATATTCCTATATACACCGAAGAGCCATTACATTATGACCACCCTGCTAATAACATGTAGGAGCACCTTTAGCCCTCAAAACTGCTAGCACCCGCCGTGGCATTGACTCCACAAGGTGCTGATAAGTAGTCTGAGGTATCTGGTACCAAGCGCTCGCCAACTGGTCCTGCAATTCCCTCACATTGCGAGGGGTTAGCGTGGCAGCACGAATTTGGTTTCCTAAGTAGGACCACAAATGCTCTATTGGATTAAGGTCAGGTGAACTTGGGGGCCCACACATGACTTGGAAAGTCACTGGAATGTTCTTCGAACCAATCCATGACGATTCGACCCTTATGACATGGTGCATTATCCTGTTGGTAAACACCATCCCCCGCAGGAAAAACTGTTGTCATCAATGGGTGAACCCGGTCGGCACCTATGTTCAAGTAGCTTACAGACGTCAGGAATTGTTCTATGAGGCTTATGGGTCCTAATGTGCCCCATGAAAACATTGTTTCTGGGCGAGAAACCATAAAAACCTGGGCGAGCCTATTGTTATAGATGGAGGGTGATCATAATGTAATGGATCTTCAGTGTATTTGTTTTGTTTGTTGTGATGTATAATGATGATTTAATTTATTAATAACATTAACAAGTAAAATAGATTAAAACTATAAAAAGAATCCGCCTAGATGTGCACGATGTAAGTGGTACAGAGAAAGAATACAGAATAATAAAAGAAATGTCAATTTATTGAAGAATAAATATTTGGCCTTTTTTCATATATCCAAACAGTATCAATCCCTTTACCAACAGAAAGAGATTCTTTCCAGTTCGGAAGTGGAAATCGACAAGCAATGACGCAAGCATTTTCACTGAGCTCAGTTACTAATTTTTCTTCAAGCTGAGACATCTGCAAAATAATATTCATAGTATTAAATAATACATGATTGAACGATGTCAAATGACTAAAAAATTTAAATGAAATGACAAAATAAAATGACCAAAAATTTTATATAAAAGTAAGGTAACTACCATTTGTTCCACTCCAAAAATGACAACATTTTCAAAATTTCTCAAATCAGTCTGTAAAACAAGAGGATGAAAATAGAATGACACGATACAATAATAATAAAAAAAATGTACTTAGAATTTTGTTAATTTGTTTTTTATGAAATGAACTCAATATTATTTTTAACAATCTTCAAACGAAACTGTGATATTCAAATACTGACAGCAACGTAAAAAAATTAATTTTGACCAAAACAAGAACAAAGCTTTGTATGCCAAGTTATGTGAAAATCGTTTTTATTTTGACGTATTGTTGGTTTCTAATAACACTTGGACAATCGGTAGCCATTGGTCTTTAAAGATTAAGCCAGAAAAGTGCACCTTTCGTTTGACAAGAGAGCACCGCAAAATTGAAAACACACTTTTACATAGAACCCCACGGATAGATGGCAGCACTACTTATATTCGTGAGGCCACTTCAATTTAGACACAGATCAGAAGGGAAACGAAATTTTCTCTAGATCCCTAAACCCAGTACACTGATTAGCGACCGACCATAGGGTCTTCGATTCCACAGATTTTACGAGCATATATGTACACGGTGGATTTTAGCGGATCGAGGATAGCATTCCGGCCCATCGATTTTCTAACCACTAGGCAACCATTGCTTGATGTATTTTAATAATATATAAAGTTAAAAGGGCAAGAATATGAACAATAGGTTTCATAAACATATAATGATTTTTTTTTAAAGATTATTCTAAATAATGCACAATATATTAATAATAACCGTGAAAAACATGGTTAGTAAAATTGGTTATACAGTGAATTCGCGATAACTCGAATCTGATAGGACTGACAAAAACTTCGACATATCGGAAGTTCGACTTACTGTTAGCTTCGGTTTTAGACTTTCAAAATATTGTCGGATTATTTAATTAAGGCTTATTAATTACAAATCTTCTAAATGCTTACAATATTAAAGATCATTTTTCTGACAAGCCATTTACGATAACACTGTTTGAAGCTTTTTATGATACCCTGGTCCATCGGCTGCAACTTTGCTGTTGTGTTTGGTGGGAGAAACTGCAAGTTTACTGCTTTCAAATTAGGTAGATCACTATGTGCTGTGCATTTATCCATAAAGAGTATCACTTTTCTTTTTTAGCGAAGAATTTCCGATCTAATTTTCTTACGTAGTCTTCAAATAAAACTTATGTCATCTAAAACTTTTTGTTAGACTTGTAATCCAAAGGACACGTTTTTATATTCTTGAAACATCGGGGATTTCGGTTTTTTCCGATAACAAGTAGGGGCAATTTCTCTGTCCCAGACGCATTTCCTCCAACTAGGACAGT